TCGAGGCTACATGCTACATGTCCAACAGCAAAACAGCAGGAGTCGATGCAATTCTGACCAAAATCCACGAGTACGTCGGCTATTGGCGAGGTACCAGGCTAATTCGCCTTTGACAATCTAGTCAGGGTGTGTACTCGCTCTCACCCTCCTCAACTTCATGTTCTCCGCTACGTTGGTGGACAGCCGTCGCGACAGACACACTGGGATCAGTATCGCCTGCAGGGCCAACGGTCAGCTCCTCAATATCCAGCGTGCGCAGGCATTCACGCTAACATAAACAACCACTGCATATGATCTCCTCTTCGCGGAAGACCGTGCATTTAATCCCAAGACAGAAGCAATCATGCAAAGAAACGATAATGCCCTCGTCACCGCCTACACCATCCTCAACCTGACCTTCAGCACAGTCTAAGGGTGACCATGCACCACTCAAAACAAACAAACGAGCACTATGTTCATAATCAACGTGAATGGAAGTAGTCACGCACCAATGGACAAATTGGCCCATCTTGACAGCACTCTCTCAAGCAACACAAAGATCGATGACAAAATAACGATCATAAGCCAGCCGAGCTCCGTCTGGAAGCGCCGTGGACTTCGCTTCAACTCAAAGCTCAAAATGCACAGGGCGATAATCCTGTCAGCACTGCTGTGTGGGACAGGCACATGGACAATCTGCGCCAACTAAACCAGCAAATTCAATCACTTTCACATCAACTGCCTCCGGAGAATGCTATAGCCGAGATGGCAGTACGGGATACCCGAGACGGAAGACTTGCGACCGACCAGAATGCTCAGCATCTCTGTCATGCTGAGACAAGTGCAACTGCACTGAAGTGACCGTATCACGATGGCGGATGAGAAGTGCTTGCCAATTTGACGATTGAACGGAGACATTTCCACAGGTGATTGTCAACAGCAAAGACAAAACGACGCTGTGAGGACCTTGTGTTCACCTCCCTTAGAGATAAACAGATCAATCTGCCCACCTGAGAAGACCTTGCTCGGAATCGAACGACCTGGAGAAGAGCAGTGAAGACTGGAGCAGCAGTCTACGAAACCCGACAGATCGCAGTTGCCGAAGCCAGAAGGGTGACTCGCAAGTCTCATGCGCCGTGTATCCATAACGCCAACATCTAACCCCTCCCATCATTTGCCAATTTTTAACGAGCATTCTGCACGCAGATCGGCCTCTCAAGACATGTTCGTATACAACGTAACAACAACACGACAGCTCCACCTGCTGTCTCTAACAATGTCTTCATTTTCCCCCCTGCCGAAACTCCACGGCGCCGACGGTCATCGTCATGGATGAACGCGAAGCTAATGCCCACCACCATCCTATTATCACTACCACAATCCCCGAGAGGACGGCGACGGCAATTACGACACACATAGCCCCCATAACCGGTTAGAACACTACTGACGACTTTCCACGGCTTGTCACTAGCCTCGTGAATGTTCGAAGCCAAGTAACGCCGCCCTTCCCTGATCGGCTGGTGGACGTCGAGACAGAGTGAAATGCGCACGCACGCGCTGGGGGCTAATAACCTCAACGGCGATCGCGAACAAAAGAACTTGCTTGGTGGGTCAGCTGGCGGCAATTGCGTGCAGAGCCTCTTGTGCGCTCTGAAATATCAGCAGATTTGTCCAACACATGTCGTCTTCCCTGAATTGTGATTTGGGAACTTTTATGATGTCGACCAATACAGCTTTCGACAAACCGTCGGTGGGACTAATGTTTGAATTGATCTGCCATATACAGTCTAATTGGCCGATCTCTTGAATGATAGTTTGTCGGGGCGGTATTTGTGGACGACTGAATGAGCTTGTGGTGTGGAAATTCGACGAGGCCCCTGTCCTCAAGAAAACGTCGTATGGTACTAACGGCCAAATACACCGCCATGCGCTCCATTCCAGATGTGTCGTCGTGCTATTCGGCAGGTGATAATGTGAGGGAAAAGGCAGCTGGTATTGAAGGGTCGCGCCGACTGCAACATCAGAGCTATCGACGATTAGGTATACAGGCTCGTCACGGGCACAGTGGAACGGGAGGGAAGCGCCGGTAATGTCAGTCTTCGCCCTGTTAAAATAAACGAAAGCACTGTTGCGGTGCCCGAACGAACTTTGGAGACCAGACAGTAGATTTTCGAACGACAGGATGGTGCCAGTACATTTCCGAGAAACCGACGATAAAAGTTGTTCATGCGCAGGAGGCGTCTCAGTTGACACTTAGATGTAAAAAGCGGGAATTTACGGATAGCCACGGCCTTCTAAGAAAGAGGGTGGATGCCAGCTAAGTCAATTAATTGTCCGAGAATTTGAGGAAGACAACTCTAAAGGCACACTTGAACGGATTGAGGAGAACGCCAAGTTTTCGGAGGTGGTCAGACACCACCTCATGATGCTCTGTGTTTTATTCGGCGTTGGTGCTGGCCGCGAGACTCTCGTTAATGTAGGCTTAAGTGGTGTATAGGTGTCTTGTCGTGGGTCCACGTGACGGTCGTAGTAGGATTTGTTTTCGGGTGTTGACTACGCCTAGTTTCCATTAACTGGCATCCAACTCTCACATGTGGATCCCCGTATCTAGGCCCTGCCTAGCGGTCACCCCTCCCTAACCGCCTCGACCGGCTGGCTAAACCAGGCCAAGGGATCGTGTGTGCATCTCCTCATACGGTAACTCGGCTCCGCTGGCCGGAAGCATCACCGCATCGGCATCTCCGATTCGAGAATCCATCTGCAACAACGTAGGAGGCCACAAGGTAAGTGGTCTCCCAGGTAAACGAACAATACTCTGCCGTCCTTGATTTGCTTGTTCTTGCTTGCTTGCTTTCTGTCTGCCTGTTCGTTTGTTTTGTCCCCTTTGTAGGTAGATGCCGTTTCGTTGAATTTCCTCAGTTTACCTTTCCTTTTACTTGTTCTCGCTTGCTTGCCCTTCGTCTGATTGTTTCTGTTTGTTTTTGCTGTACGCCAACTGCTGCTGTTTTGAATTTGTCTGCACACCGCTTATATTTTAGTAAACAGCTCGCGTAGAGAGGGATGGAAAAGTTCTGCATCTCGTCACTCTACACTTCCTTCATCCCTCCTCCCCTGGCCTGCAAGTCCTACGGCAATGTCTTAGGTAGGTTCAGGCTAACTCGGTTTGCTCTCCCACTAAACAAAAGTCGTGGCCCATAATGGAGTTCGGCGGCCGCCTGGGACAACTGAGCAGCAGGGATAGCACCGCTCACCTCCGCGAGGGGGAGGAGTCTAGAAAAGGCGCTTTAAACAAATGCTGTCGACCCACGAGGTCTGCAGACTGACCGCGGCCTGAGACGCAAAACTCGCGGTCGAAACAATCAAAACAAAAACAACACACTCTCTTCCTCTCCTCCTCCCCGCCGCCTCACTCGCCATGCTGGCACGATGAATCCGCTCACTCCGGCAGCCTGGAATGTTCGTTCCCCTTTATACAATCCGAGGAGTGTCTCGGTTCTGCGAACATTCTTATGTTACGATTGAAGAGTCAGTTGGCGAACATCCAACGCAAGATATTGAGAAAGAAAACGTGGACGGGACAATACATTAATTTTCACGGTTTTGTTCCTTTAAATCTAAAACGAACTTTAGTCCAGCGACTGGCGGCTAGAGTGCGACGCATCTGCTCTCCTTAAACTATTGAAGCAGAATTCCAGCAGCTGTAAAATATGCTCTGCGAAAACGGCTATCCAGAGCGATTCATCCTCCGGAACATTAGAGAGCGTGCCACAAAACCTGCTGCTTCAACTGCAGAGAAGAAACACTTATGTCTAAGACTGCCTTTTCTAGGAGACGCACCAAGCGAATTAGTGAGACGACGTCTTAGGACATCTCTCGCGAGTGCCTTCCCCGCGGCGAACTTGCGCGTATTCTTCGCAAATTCCCCCCACTATGATTTGGGGACAAAGACCAGCTGCCGTTACAGGCCACATCCATACGTATTTATCCATTCCCCAGGATATATTGGCCATACAACCAGGCTTCTAGAAAAGAAATTACGCGAACACATGCCCGCCTGGATAGGTAGAGGTGAAAATCGATCTAATCGATACGAACTACCAAGCCGACGCTAAGGAAGCTTTTAAAGAAGATGAAGATGCGATCACAGGAACAAGAACTTTATTTGCCTGACGTTTCGGGTTCTTACTCGAATCTATCATCAGAGACATTCGCGACGCTGCTTACGTCGCACCCCAAATCAACGTGAACGGCGCGCAAGTGCAAGTGGCGGACAACTTCACCTACCTGGGCAGTGCCCTCTCCAGCACAACCAAGACCGATGATAAAGTGTCCCGCCGGATTTCAAAGGCCAGTCAAGCCTTCGGCCGTCTGCAAATTACAGTCTGAAATCGCCACTGTCTCCACCTCAACACCAAACTGAAGGTGTACAAGGCGGTCACCACGCCGACGTTACTGTATCGAGCAGATACTTGGACCGTGTACAAGAAGCAGGTGCGTAGGCCCGATCACTTCCATCTCAGCTGTCTTCAACGGATACTGAAGTTGAGATGGCAGGACCGGATCCCAGACACGGATGTACTGAAGCGGACGGGAATCTGTAGTGGGCCTACTCCGCGCGCCTGTCTCAACGCTGTGCCTTTCGCGAGTGTCTGCACGTGCGCCCCATGTTTGTCTGGCATTCGCTCACTCGGCTTTCCAACCGACCAAACAGATTCAAGGTCGAGTCAGGCGTGTGCTGACTTAAGACACTGTGACGCATTCGCTCACTCATTCCGGACGCTGCTCGCTCGGTGCCGGACGTACTCTCGTACGACTAACAACTCTCTCCGATTCCTTCATTCATTCTGTACAGAATATATTGTCCGCCCAACTGGTGTCCATCTTATCTTTTCATTCGGACCGGGCCTGAAGGTCGTGGCATCCGGTGTCTTACTCTTGATCTAGCCTACTTGCGACAAATCCTCAGCATCTACACCTTGCTAAGGCAGCTGAAACTGCGTTGAAACGGCCACCGCGTATGGATGGACGACGAGCGGCTACCCAAACGACGCTTCTACAGAGATGTCGTCACTGGTTTCCGCCGACAAGGAGACCAAGACCGCCTAAACAAGGAAACTCTGGAGACTTTCCTAAAGCTTCTGCAGATGAACCCGGCCAACCTGGATGAGAACAGTGAAGACAGGCGCAGCGAACTACGAAGCCAACTGCATCCTCACCGCAAACGCAAACGCGAGGCTCTTCAATCCCAACTGCGCCCACTCAACGTCAACGCTCAACCACCTCTGACCTGTCCACGCTGCCAACGGACGTCCCGAGCACCAACTGGCCTTGTCGGATATCTTCGTACCAACTGCAACACCCGGGGCTACACCAGCTTTAGTGTCCTCGTCCAACTCGGCCTCATCCTCCGCGCCGACGACTGACATTGACCGCACCCTCGACCCCCGCACTATCATCCCCCTCCTCCACCGCCTCAACGTCTGCCTCTGTGGCGTCTGCTATGCGCATCAACTCTACACATATCCTGATACACTAACAAGCATAGCAATGTGGACTCGATCCCTACCTGTCCTCATTGAGACCGCAGCTTCACCTCACACATAGATCTGGTTGGTCACTTGCGAATCCATTGCACAGAGATTAGCGAACCAGTACCTGGAGCACCAACATACACTAGCGGCCTCGTCCTCAACCGCCTTCACTGCACCCGCACATTCACCCACCGCATTGGCCTACTAGGCCACGTGCGCATTCACGAAAACCTGCGGTGGACCATCGCCAGCTAACCCACACCGTAACATCTTCCCCCACATTCATCACACAACATCATCCACCAAAAGCATCCAACTGCCACCTCCTATGCAAGTGGGAAATGTGCTTCTCGGCTCCCTCTCCACGCGGCTCCTCCACTGCGTGTGTAATTCGAGCCTGAGACAATCACGGTGCGTCAAGCACTGTGGTATGGAAGGTTGCTGACCGACGCCCTAACTCAGTCCGCGCAGTCTGCCCAGGTGTGTGTGTTCATGTGTGGAGTGGCGGACTGGCTGAGGTGGCTCCTTCTTAACGTAACCTAAGGCACTCTCACGCATGTGAGATGTACGCCGTTCTACCCACGTTGTGTGAAGTCCTAGTGCTTGTGTTTGGGGGGGGGGGGCAGGTCGTGCATATGGCGCATGCAGACACGGTCACTAGACTATGTCAGCCACCGCGCCCATTACCCGCACCTGTCAACTGACCGGCTCGGACAGTGTCTGGGACCTGGGGATGGGAAGGGAAAGTGGGGTCGATGACTCAGAGCAACCCGACGCGCTTGAGGCCATCACGGGGCGCTAAAAGCCGTGGCTTGGAAGGCTGCCAACTGGAGGGATAACTTTGACCTCGCAGTCGGCCCAGTGTTGTGCGTTTGTGTGTGGCGGCCGACTGGTGACCTAAGAGTCAGGCTGCGATGGCCGCGTCTTAATGTGGCCTTTATGGCACTCCCACTCTGTGAGGTCTGAACCAGGTGGGACGGCACGCCTGGGTGTGGCTCCAACCGTGCCGGCCACCCTTTTGGTGTTGGTTAAAATCTTGGTCATTTCCTGCGCAGAACAGGGGTGTGGAGTGGAACGCCAAGGTGCGGGCTCGACTGTGTCATCCACCTGCTCTCACTACCGGCCATTTTTGACTATTTTTTGAAACCGGGTCCAGGTAGAGGGGGGGGAAGAGTTCGGTAGATGCGGCGAAAGTCCATGTTTACTATAAACTTAGTCACGTGCAAGTCACCGTGTCTGCACCACCATGCTGTGGGGCACACAGTGGACGTCATTGGCAACGACGGTCGAAGTAGTAATATATGTTTAACCAATGAGTTAGCCGTGAAGAATATCTGGAATGTTTGGAGGCACTGAGAAGCCCAGCCGGCATGTACGGGAACTGAAAGAGGCAAAAGGGGGTGGTGATGGTCGTATTCGAAATAGGCATTTGGTGAGAGTCTCGTACCAGGTCAATGTTGGCGAAGGCAGTCTTGCCGAGTTTAAGAGATTTGGAACAGAATAGCGGTTAGCAATGGTAACGCTTTTCAAGGCGCGGTAATCGTTGCAGGGACGCTTGTCAGCATTAGTAGCCTTGAGGACCATGTGCGCGGGCGTGGTTCAATAACTTTCAGACTGGCGGGTAGTGTGCCCCTGAGGTATGCCTGTGTTAAATCTCGGCCATTACGGCAGCCGCACGTAGACGCATTGAGACGGTTTTCGTAAAAACAAATTAGGGTTGGCGGTAAGTATGTAATGAACAATATCCTGCAGTGGGCTAGGGACATCAAAAGTAAGTTGAGTGAGTTATTTAGCGAAGTTTTGCCAAAAATTGGTTAGCCTGGTCAGAGTACCGCACGCAATTCTATAGTATGAATCAAAGGAATAGACAGCTCGAACCGTAAGTTTGGTTGACTGGACGTGTAGATAGGATTGGTGGCAGTCAACTGGGGGATCGTTGGCGATGAGGAAGTCTGCAACAAGAAGGATTCTGGGGGTGTCGACAACAACAAAACCCCATGGAAAGAGAGGCCGGAAGCCAATGTTCATGGAAGCAGGGACCGAAGGTGGCGATTGAGATGTGTTGGTTGTCCAAAGGAACAGGCCGGAGTTAGGTCGTTGACGATCAGCTGCTGTTGGAGGGGTGACATTCGGCTGCGCACTAGTATCGATCAAGAAACACCTGCCGTTCCAGTTTTCGTAGACGTAGGAAGTGCGATCTGGTGAATAGTTGCCGGGAGAACTGTCTGCATCGACCCGTTGGCAAAGCCGTTGCACCCGTTTCTCTACCGAAAGATTCAGCGACGTGATCAAACATTAAAGGTAGTATGATACGATCAGATGGCTGCCACGATGGGGCGAGATGAAGGATTAAGCTGGACTTTTCGAGTAGAGGGCCTCGGTGGGCTCCACGAAGAAGGAGAGGTTATCTGCTGCTGGGGAAAAGCTAAATCGTGAATGGGCTCCACAAGCTGAGACTTCAAGTCCAAGAGAGGAGATGGGAGATAAGCAGAGGCAACTGAAAGTGAACAAGTGAGACCATGGCGAAGTCATGCACCTCACTCAGACGGTTGACCATTTGAATGAATTTGGCGGCCGAGAGGGGGCCAGAATCTGCTAACTATCTCAACTTCGAGTCCGGCCAACAGTGGAGCTATTCACTGAGTTTTTTGTCTGGTCCAGCATTCAGTAGAATACACTGGTAGACACGTCCTGCCCCTCACACCATGGGGCCAAATCATCGGCACACGCTGACGAGGTCACGCCTACACCCCCTACCTAATCCAGCCAGAGCAGCTTCTGCCACAATCGGTAGGTTTTTCACACTGTATATGCACTGAACCAATGTAACCATTCCATCGTTGGCCCCGCTGTCAGCCACTCTCAGTGATCGGTGCCTGCTAGGAAATATATAGCGCATAAAGTGTGCACAGCCTCCTGCCCCTGCCACATAAGTCGGATAGGTACGACGTAATCACGGCGCTCGAGCGTATGGAACGTGCGAATATTCAACTTCGAGTCCAGCTAACTGCAAGCGCTCTCAAACCCTGGAATCACCCAACCAGCCCACTAAGTGAAAGCTGAATGGCATCCATTCTCTAATATGCAAAGAATGGGGGCGTGCTAAGGTTAAACAAACTTGTTAGTCAACAGTTTTCCCTTCATGGCAGATGGTTATTTCCTCTGGTTTCGTTGTGGGAGAGCTCATTATCCCGAGGTACAAATTCATTCGATCCAAACTGACTCGAGTTTGAGGGGGGCAGAGTAGATGAGTCGGGAGTGGTAAGAAAGGTTACTTACTTACTTTCAAAGGCCAGCTGTATAAAACAGATAAATGACTGCATAATATTTCTTGTTGAAATTCTGACGGTTTGAAGTTACACACGCGTACTTAAAGGTTCGATATCTACATAAATTTCTCTTTCCCAAGCTCCGAGCAAAACAAAAAAAGCAAAAAGACCTGAGACAGTGTCCTGAACTATTATCGAACCACCCTCTTAGGCTTCAGCACCCTTCTCAACGCCGTTGTCATCTATGGATGTGGGAATAGTGATCTTGATTACTAATGAAAACTGTTGATCCCAAATAAAGTAGAGTACTGAGTCGGATGTGCTTACCGGATATCGGCCATGGTAAGTTCCAACTCTAGCAAAGTACGGCGTAAATGAGGGTAGTCGGGGTTGAGTGCCGTCATTGAGGGTGAAGATTCTTAGAGAAAGAGCGTCTAGAAGGACGTGAGGGTCCTGTCAGTAGCAATGAAATTTAGCTAGGATCGCCAGTATCACGTGCCAAATCAGGCTGGCTGAGTCGTAGTCGCTAGTTGGCATGGTTTCGGGGGGCAAGTAGAGGGTGATAAAGGTCAGCCGGAAATCGTAATTCGCGGCCACTCTGAAGCTAGGAGAGAATGCGACCGGTGGATTTATGAACGAAACCTCGATTTGATAGACCGCAGAAGGGTATGCAAACATGCCAGCCTTGTCCATGGTTATCTTTGGTAAAAGCCAGAAGGAGACTGTGTATGGTGCCACTGGTTCGACCCTCGGGATTTACCCTCTGACTGATACGGCGTTATGTGGGTTTTCGGATTTTCAGTAGGCTCTCCAAATTCATGAAATAATTGTGGACCAAAACTACTACTGCAGTCGGAGTGGGAGGACAGGGGAGCGTTCCAGGGGCAGATCCAAGTACGATTGGTGGCATTAACAGCAGGAGTGACCCCTTTACGTTGTTGGGGTTCTACCTCCACACATTCTGAGAGGGAGACGATCATCCCTAAAATATAACTCACATCCGCGGACCTAAATCTGAGAAGGGCCAGTAATATTCAGGCCGATGCACTTGCGCGAAAGTAGGAAGCCATGAATTGCACGGGCACGGAACGGGAGGACGAAGAGGAGTTAAAGGATGCAAATGCAGTACAGGAGCGAGATAAATGGCGAAGCGAAGTTGCGACTACGAAAAACGCATGCGTACTGCTCGCTCCTTTTATCATCAGTCGCAATTGTGCAATTTCACATGGTGATCCAAGAAAATAAGTCCGATTAGGCATCCAAGAACATCGGTCGCAGCTGCTTTGACGAGGAATCTGCAGGAATAAAATATCTTTTTCAATAACTAAGTAATTTTATTGGTACAGCAGCAGGCGTGGGCTTTAAATGGTTCCCTCCACCTAACACTCTCTGTGTTTATGGATTTTTGAGAAGAATTACGGTAAATTAAGGCAGTATCAGGATCAGTACGTTGGGCCGCAGGCCGAACATGACCAGTTGACTTCGACGTAAAGTTGAGGCTGTCTGTCCGGTGGGTAAGCGAGAAAGGGAGTCTGTGGCACTCCAATACCTTGATCGCCGGCACTTTGTCATGCTGACCGTCTGTCCACCCTGTCGATCTGCTGCTGGGACTGCTCGCGGCCTGTCATTAGTTTCGCCAGACCTCAAAGACAAGTAACGTTTTCCTTCGCTGATTGTCTATAGGTGGACGTAACCCAGACAGAGCAAAGGTGCGCAACTGCGCTCGGGGCTAAGCCCCTCAAAGGCTGACACCGACAAAAAAGCCGAAAGAGAGAACCTACGGCAACTGCTTGCTGAGACCCCGTACGTTCCTTAGCGTCAGTAAAGCAAGTCCAACATAATCTGTCTTCCCCGAGATTTTATTACGGAAATCTTCGTCTAATCGACTATTAGGAACCCTCGCGTCTGCTCCCACTTTCGACACGCCCACGTTCGTGTGTTATGTCTAGGGTAAGGTTGAAGGGGTGTCCAGTTTTGCGTCCACACGAAGCTCGTAGTAGATGGCTTCACCTTATTGTAGGGTTTGGCTAGGCCTAGCGTCCATTAACTGGCACATTACTCTCAGACGTGACCTCAAACCTAAGCCCTGTCTAGTGGCCACACCCCGGTAACCGCTACGACCGGTGAGCTAAACCAGGTGAGAGTTGTGTCCACACACCCGGTAACCCTGTTTTCCTTTCCATCCGCCTTTTCATCCGCCTTTCCTCCACCCCATCTCTCCTCAATCCCTTCCCACCCAATTCAAAAAGTTCCACGGACATGCTGACATACAATCCCATAGGCGACGTCCGGCAGCCGTCTGCGATGTCTGGGCAGTCCTATTTGGAGACAGCACTGGTCACCCCCACCCCCCCCCTCCCCAGGGGGACAGGGCTAGAAAAAATGCCCTAAACATGTGTTGGGATCCGACGTATGCCGTCCACAAGGGGGGTGACGATGACCTTTGAAAAGCCGTGCAGAATTTCGGCTGCACTTAGTGATTCACACACACGGTACGTCAGCCCCACAACGGGATGATGGCGCGCGTCGGGAGAGGAGAGCATGGTCCTCACGGCATCGATGGCTGCAACGACAATGGTTTCAAGCTCTCGCGAACCTGCACAAAACACTGACTGCTGTTGACTAGCACCTTTCATCTGGCGATGTTGAAGGGATGCTGACAGCCGCTGGACTACGTCCCCCCTCGCCGGCGCGACCGACAGGAGGTGATGGTAACCAAGGCGATCTTCGACGCCCGTGATTGGATAGATCATCACCTCGTCGTCTTCAAGATAAGGTTCCGTCTGCAACACTGCAGGGGGCCACAAGCTAAGAGAACACCAGGTAAGTTGGATACTGTTCTGTCAAGTTTGCCTGCTCACCGTTTGCACTTCAACAATCAGTCAGCTCAGTACCTGGAAGATATGCCAGCCACGGAAGTCAACGCCAACGCAGAGACTCGATGATGCCAACTGCGGGACGCCGTCCATTCGACCACCGTGGGTGTCCTCGGTAGCGCATTTCGTCATCTCCAGGACTAGTTCTACGAAAACGCTGTCGAAAACGCTCGCTGAAAAGAAAAGGCTGCATAGAGCCTACCTTGACTGTCCAACCGATGCAAACAAGGCGGCTTTCTACGAAGGCTATCGCCCTGGGCAGCAGCGATCGCGAGAAACGTAGGACGCCCGGATGACTCGCAAAACTGAGGAGGTCTAGGAAAACGCCGACCGCAGCAAATCAAAGGATTTCTTCGCTGCGATCAAGGGGATATATGGTACACCGAAGAAGGGAAACGCCACTTCTCAGCTTCAATAGCTAAACGCTTTTAACGGAGAATTCGCAAATTCTGAAGCGCTGGGCCGAGCACCTCAGAAGAGCATTCAACCGCTCTTCAACACTCTTCGATGCCGCTATCGACGGCCTCCCTCTAGTGAAAATCAACATCGACCAGGACCTCCGCCCTCCTCTACAGAAACCGTTCGCGCTGCGCGCCAACTCTCCAGCGGGAACGCTCCAGGCTCCGGTGCGATCCCAGCTGAAATATACGATCAGGGTGGTCGTTGGCTGATGGATCACTTCCCAACTCTCTTCCAGAAAATGTGGCGACAAAGATAGGTCCCTCTGGATTTCACGGACGCGACCATCATTCATCTCTGCAAGCCCAAACGGATTCGGCAACTCTGTGACAACCGCAGAGTCATCTCGCTGCTCAGCAGTGCTAGGAAGAGCTTCATTTGCCTTCTCCCCAATCATCTGAACAGGACCTACTGCCAAAAGGCCATTTGGATTCTGACGTCTCCGCGGGATTACCGACATGGACAATGTCGCTCACCAGCTGCTCTCTACCGACGAGTGTGCACTCAAATCCATGACCGAAGAAGGAGTGCAACGGAGTAAGGATCTCTACGCCTCCGGCTGCATTCACTTCGACCTGATCATCAATACCGGCAAAACGATGGTCATGCACCAGCCGTCACCACATACGCAATATTGCACTCCTCGAATCACTGTCAACCGCAACTAACTCAAAACAGTGAACAGCTTCGTTTACCTAGGAAGCCCACACACTCAGCGCAGACATCGACGATGAAGTTGCCCGTCACCTCTCCAAAGCCGGCCGGACTTTCAGCCAGCTTCAGGCCTCTGTGTAGAATGGCCACGGCCTTCAACTGAACACCAAACTGAAGGTGTACAAGGTTGTCGTCTTGACGGCACTCCTGTACGGAGCGTAGACCTGGAGTGCCTACTCCAGCCATGCCAGGAAGCTCAATCACTACCATTTCAACTGTCTTCGCAGAATACTGAGACTGTGGTAGGGCAGGATCCCCGACAAGGAATCGTGGAGCGAGCGGGAATCTTCAGCATCCACGTCATGCTGAAGCAACTGCAACTGCGATAAAGCGGCCATCTGGTGAGAATAAACGACACTCGTTTGCCAAAAACTACTTTACGGAGATGCCGCCAGGGATGCTCGCCGACTGAAAGAACCAAAACGACGCTACTAGGACATTTCGAAGAATTCTCTTAGACGATTGCATACGAACGCAGAGACATGGGAGGACCTAGCCCAGAACAGACCGGCCTGGAGAAGAGTAATGAAGACTGGCTCAGTCATCTACGATATTAATCGGATCGCCGCGGCCAAAGTCAAAAGGGATGCTCGCAAGTCTTAGCCGCCTCTGATCCACAACATCGTCACTCAACCCCGTCCGACCTGCCCACGCAATCGACGAAAACTGAGCGCGTGGATTGGCCTCGTCAGTCATCTTTGGACCCAACACAAGAACCACCCAACGACCGCAACTGCTGTTTCCATGATCACCCCTGCTCCAACCTCCACGTCGACCACGCCAGCGTCCGCCCTCACAAACGTCGCGTCGAATCTCCGTGCCGCTCTGCCGTCGACCACTATCACCTCCGTCACCTCTGTCACAACCGCCACCGCGGCGACGACGAATACAACCATCTCTACCACCCCCGCCACAGACCGAAACGTTCCTGACGTCCCGTCAACCACCAGGAGATTCACCGTTACAACCCTCAGTTCCAGTAAAACGCACTCGGTTCAAAACTGTCCTAATTGCGACCGCACATTTACCTCACGCATCGGCCCCGCGGTCACTAGCGAATCCGTCTCGCAGAGACTGACAAACCGGTGCCAGAAGCGCCAACATACACTCTTCGCATCTGCCTTTATTTTCCATGCACATTCATCCACTGCATGGGCCTGTCCGGTCATATGCGTATCCATGACAGCAGTATTCACCGTAGTAACGATATATCTAGCACACCCTGCACATTCGCCATCCCCAGCTTAGTCGTTTCCTCATCTGCCTGCGCACCCAGCACTAACAACAGCATCACCACCCCCGAAACCGACTCTGCAGCTCCCGACCTATCTTGTTCGCATTGTCACTGCACATTCACCTCACGCATCGGTCAAATCGGCCACTTGCAAATCAATCGCACAGAGGCTAGCAAACCAGTGCCTGGCGGACCAACCTACACCAGACGCACTCGCCTAAACCGCCTGCATTGCCCTTGGACATTCAGCCATCGAATGAGCCATTTTAGTCACATGCGCGTTTTTGAAAACCCGCCGTGAATAACTGCAGACACGACCACACCGCGGCACATTCCCCCACCAACGCATGAACCACGCATACGCCCCTCCAAAATCCCACATCATCGATACCTCTCACGAACGTGAGAAGTGTGCTATTCGTCTCCTTTCTCCGTGTAGTTTCTCAGCTGCATGTAAGAACTGAGCATTCTATTCCCATTGTACTTAAAACCCTGGTGCGTGCATGTGGCTCGCGCAGACGTGCTCCTTAGCCCTGTTGGCTAATGGGCCCACTCCCCGCATTAGACAACTGACCATCTTGGACAGTGGCTTGAGCCTGGGTATGGGAACAGAGAGTGAGGTCGACGACTCAGAGCATTCTCTCACTATAAACAATTTGACACGCGTAAAACTATCACGGCGTGCCAAAAGTCGTGATTTGGAAGGTTGTCTACTGATGGGATAACTTGGACCTCGCAGTCAACTCAGTGTGTGTTTGCGTGAAATGACGGACTTGTGGACCGAGGGTCAGGCAACAATGGCTCCTTTTTAATGTAGCCTCTATAACATTCCCACTCAGCGGAATCAGAGCCAAGTGTGGCGGCACACCTAGGAGCGGTCCCGGCCATGCCAGCCACCTGCGCCGCCTCCTTCTTTCGATCTTCTTAACTACCCCTTGACACCGGGTCCAGGAGGGGAGGAGAGAGTGCGGTAGATGCTGTGCAAGTCTGTCATAAGTATAAAAGGAATCACGCACAGGTCACCATGCCTGCTGCTGCCCTGCTGTGGAGCACACGGTTGACGACGTCGGGTATTCTTATTTGAATGTTACCACGACCGCGCGTTTTCTATCGAAGAAACAAGACAAAATCGATAACGGCAAAATTAACCAAGATTTGCTCAAGACACATTTTCATATCCCTTTTCATCGCGACAGCTCATCGATTCCAGGCGACTGCCTAATTTCCGTATGGGTCATGACTTTTGTATAGTGGGAATAGGACCCGAAATAGCCTGGACAGTCCGATGGATCGCAGTCACTCATTCCGTCATATATGCGTGCTTCTTGGAGGAGAGGAGGTAGGATGGAACGGAGGACAGGAAAACTGCCTGTTAACAGCACCTCGACCACCGCGAACGATGATGATCAACGTGTGACCCACTGCAAGTTAAACGCAATGCAGTTACCCCCGCGTAAATTAGTTTATAATGGTAGCAGACTTGCTCACAATTACTGCACTCTTTCCTCCATCACCCTTCCGCGCCCAGTGGCACAGTTGAGTCAGTACGATCGTAGGTGGAATCGGGCGGCGTGGCTAAAAAGTTAGACAGACAGTCTGCACCTGCCGCACACGCCTGGTCAGCATACACTAAAAGGTAGTTTCACAGGATCAGGAGAAGGTCGGTTCAGATCCAGACCGGGTGGGAGCAGCACAAAGGCCACTTAGAGATGGATTCATTGCAACCTGACTCTCCGTCGTGAGGAAACCGCAGCAGTCCTCTTGGGCCACGGCTTTTAGCGCACCGTAGGAATTCGAAAATGCTCAAGATTGTTTATGGTGAGGAGCTATGCGGAGTACTGTGAGGACGGACTCGCCAGAGTCGACGTCACGCCCCCTTTCCCTTCCCCAGATGCCAGTCCGTTGTCCAATTCGGTCGGGCATTAAATGCCGAGATTGTGAGCAAGTGACTGACAAAGCTAGACAACCCATATACGCATACCACACACGACCTGTCCTCCCGCACACCCCACCAAATTTACGCACTAAGAGGATGAGAGCTTGGAATCCCACATACGTGAGGCTGCCTTAGCGGTCAAATTAAGAAGCAGCGTTGAGCCTGACTCTCGGTCAACCAGTCAGTCACTCCACGCACACACACAGTGCTGACTGTGAGATCTGAACTATGCCTTCAGTTGGCAAACTTTCAAGTTATGACGTTTAACGTGTCGTGTTAGATTGGCCCATGTTGGATTTATTAATGAGTAAGGCACTGATATATCTTGATGATGGAGTCCACAGAGTCGGCATCACTCTAACTTCCCACTCTCGCACACCAGTCGGATATCCGACCCTGGCAACAATCTACTGTCAGGATTGAGCGCAGTGGTTAACAGCGTCACAATAGTCAGTCTACGTATGTCATACAGGAGCTAGTTAGACACCAGGCCGCATCAAAGAGCAAGCCTTGCACTTACGTGAGAGGTACTTATTTTGCGACTGCGTTGGATGATGTAGAAGTTTTTGTGTGTGTTGCGTGTGTTGGTGGGGAAATGTGTGGTGGTGAAATTTCGGCTGCGCCGTTTTACTGCAGTTTTTCCTGGATGCGCGTATTTCCGGATAGACGTATGTGGTGGTCAACCAGGCTGATGTGTAATATTCATGAACGGTGAAGTTGGGCAGAATGGTTTGTTAGTTTCTTATTTGGTGGTGATATAGAGTCCAGGTAGTGAATTACTCAGAAAACCGCAATGATCAGGGCCCAATAACGTCTTTGAGCGGACGGGGAAAACCAACAGTGGAACTAGTGTATTCTATACAGAAAACCAGTCGTGGTCAGGATCCTTGATGCGCGGTCGGCTTTGGACCTGCGTGCGCGTCTTCCGCGTGTCCGCGAGTGTGTTAGCGTGATTTGGGAGTTAGTCAGCGTCATCTTGGGGCTTTCACAGTAGGACAACGCAGTTTATGGACGTGTGTGATTGGTTGACATTGAGAATGCATATCCTCGTGTTCTGGCCCTTAGGGAGCTGTGATCATGTGATTCCTAACACGGTGTTTGTTGGTGTCAGAGGCGAAATTCTCATGCAGGAGCGAGGTGTTACGGTGGCGGAGGTAGCGCTACTGGCGTCGACGCTGTTGGAGTGAGTGTTGGTAGCACTGTTGATAGGAGGGTGTGCGATGGACGATACGGCTATGAAGTTTCGCCATCACTAATGCGCATTTGGCCGAGTAGGGCCATACGCCTCGGCAGAGTGGACTTGCCGAGGTGCCAGACTAACTTGCACTTAACAAAGCATATATGTGTGATCTAAGTATAGACAGGTGGTAATAACGATGATGATGTTGGGTGGCAATATGTCGGGAGTATTCTAACCGGATATGGGGGTTGGGTGTGTCGTAGTTGTCGTCGCCGTCCTCTCGGAGATTGTGATAGTGATAATAGGATGGTGGTGGGCATTGGCTTCGCGTTAATCGGTGGCGATGACGGTCGTTGCCGTGAAGTTTCGGCAGGTGTGACGATGAAGACATTGTTAGAGGCAGCAGGTGGAGCTCTCCTATTGTTGTTACATTGGATCCGAAAATGTCTGGCGAGGCCGATCTGCGTGCAGAATGCTCGTTAAAAATTGGCAAATGATGGGAGGGGTTAGATGTTGGCGTTATTGATACACGCACATGAGCTATGCGAGCTGCTTTTCTGGTTTTGGTAACTGCGATCTGCTGGGTTTCGTAGATTGCTGCTCCAGTCTTCACTGCTCTTCTCCAGGTCGTTCGATTCCGAGCAAGGTCTTCTCAGGTGGGCAGATTGATCTGTTTATCTCTAAGGGAGGTGAACACAAGGTCCTTACAGCGTCGTTTTGTCTTTGCTGTTGACAATCACCTGTGGAAATGTCTCCGTTCAATCGTCAAAATGGAAGGCGCTCCTCATCCACCATCGTTATGCGGCCACTTCAGTGTAGTTGCATTTGTCTCAGCA